CCCCCCCCCCCCCCTTAGAACTGTTCGTGCCTGGCTGACGTCAGTCGAGCAGGGACTGTGGGAGCCCCATTTGCCTTCCCAGCACACAAACCCTGCCCTGCCTGCACCCCGCTGCCCAGCCCAGCTCCCCCCCAAGCCCAAAGACCTATTTCCACTCCCGATCTCAAAGCGCAGCTTCTGGAAGCGTGGCCAGGTCTGGGGCCGCGCATCGCCACCACCCTCCCTCGACACAGGGAGCAGGAGACTTACTGCGACTCTGCCAGCTTCTGCCCGAGCGCTCGGATTGTGGCCCCCAGCTGCTGGACCTCGGCCGTCAGCCCGTACTGGACCTGTGCAGTGGGGAGGGAGGTGACACCAGTTAACAGGGCTGACGGGGTGTTTCACAAAGGCCACGGTTCCCTCGTTCCCCTTCTAGCCCAGCTCTGACATTTATTTCCTCGCTTTGCCAGGTGACTGTAGGATCCATTGCTCAGACCCTCTGTAGTTTTCTCCAACACTCATCCAACGTTTTCCAGACCCACGTGAGCCCCCACCCCGGCCAGTTCCCCCAGTCCCTCGGGGCCGGGAATGCACCAGGCGAGGCTGGTACCTGGTCCCGGCAGCGCTCCACACCGGGCCGAAGGCTGCGGGTCTCCAGGCGGGCGTGGGCCACTTTCAGATCCTGCGTTTTCCTCTGAAGATCTTCCTCCAAGCATCGGATGTCCTCCTCCATCTCAGCAATTTCCTCCAAGGTCTAGGGATAAAGCCACATATCAGGCAGGAGACCCAGGGATACGGACTGGACAACAGTCCCTGGGCATCCCGGGCTTTTGCTGTGCTGGCAAAGGATTTTAAACAAGGGCTGCTGGGCTTCCGAGTGCTGAACCCCTCTGCTCATAGATCAGGGATGGTGCTGCTGGTGTTTTATGGCCACAGCAGAGAACAGGGATGAAATAAAAAGGGCAAAACATGGCACTGCTACTGAGAAAGGCCAGAGCAGGAGTTGTGATAGCAGGAGGAGGTAGGGTGTTGCAGGGATCATACATGTGCCACTTAACAGTTCTCATGTGGAAACCGTGCTCAGGCCAAGTAGCTTTCCACAAAACAAACAGCCTCTTGGATTCAATTCCCACCCAAGCTTGTGGTCAATAACCAAAAAAACGACATTTACATTCTGCTCCTGCCATTTCAGTTCATCACAGGCTCTTTCCAGGTCTCTAATCCTCTTGCGCAAGGCAAACTCCGTAGCGACACGCTGAGCCTCCAGCTCGTTGTCTGTCTGAAGAGAGAACAGGCCCCTGTCACACACAGCTAGGTGGTGTCACCCTCCCGGCTGCTGCCTGGGAGCTTGGGACAAGCCCATGGGCAGAACCAGGCGGGTTCTGGCAGCTGCTCCCCCTGGTAGCCAAAAGGCAGCGAGTGGTGGCCAGGTAACGCGGCCTCCAGGGGCCCGAGGCTGCTGCCAGCTGCGCAGCGGAACCAAGCTCCCCACTTAAACCCGGAGGGCAGCTGCTCTCAGAGGACCAGAGACCCCCCTCCCCTGGCCACAGCCGGGCCGTTCTCCCACACGGGATCCCGAACTCCTGCCCTGCCGAGCCCCGGCCAGGGGACTCGTTCACCTGCGCAATGGCAAGCGCCGCAGCTTCCCGGAGCCCCGTCGCGGCTTTCATTTCCGCCTCAGCACGCTCCTTGTTGAACCGGCTGGTCTGTTCCCACTCATCCACTGAGGTTGATCTGTGAACAAATCACCAGTTATGAAAATGAGTGTTTGCAAGACAGTTCAAAAGGAACCACCTGCTGCAGGCTGAGGCGGCTTCGCGCAGTACAAAACCGTTCAGGAATTCTGGAGGTCACATCCCATCCGATCTCCTCCCCGCACCAGCTGCAGATCGGGACCCCGCGGCTCCCGCGCCGAGGCCCCACATCTGCTCGGAGCAGGGACACCGCCAAACCGTGCTGCCAGGTGCCAAGCCGGGGAGGATGTGCAGCAGCTCCCCCAGCAGCTGTGCCAAAGGCCGACACCGCGCTACTCGCGGTCGCCCACAGCCCAGCGCCAGGCGGGCAGGGCAGGGCAGCCAGCTTCTCCGGCTTTGTGCTCACAGTTTGCCTGTAGCTTCACAAGTCAAGAGTCACAACAAATCCCAGAAGCCAACTCCTGCTCCGAGCTCTCTCTAAAACTGCGCCCATCAAGCCAGGATAAAGCACGGAAGGAAAAAGCACCTCGGGGCTCTCTCAAGCACCAGCACGGATTTGGCCGCACAAGGGCAGGCTCCTTCCTTACCTGTCAGGGACCCGCGTTGGGTTGACCTTGAAGGAGATGTTGGGAGAGTTTACGCTGAGGGATAAGCAGACACGATCTATTTCCAGGGCTTCCACCTTGCGCCGGTGGTCGCAGCTCAGCTGCTGGCGAGTTTCCTGCAAGCGGCTGCAGAGAGCAGGGTCGGAGTCAGCGGCGAGCACGCAGAGGTGAGAAGCAGCTCGTGATTTCCAGAGCTTTTATCACCACGTCTGTCACCTCTGGGGAAGGAGCGATGAGCTCCTGCCCTCCCACGGGGCTGGGCCCACCCCGATGAGGCAGCGCACCCCTTACCGCCTGCCCGTGCTCTGCTCTGGCATCCCCTGCGGCAGCGACCCAGAGGGATTAGCGCCGGGGAGCTTTAGCACCTCCAGGTCACAGGCACAAGAGATCTGTGGCCTGCTTGCCCATCTGGGGCCAAGGAAGGAGGGCAGAGGCCAGACAAAAGCTGTGCCATTCGCCTCACCAGAGCTGTTCGAAGGCTTCGTTGACTCGCTGCTGCAGTTCTCTCTTGGCTTTCTCGATGCCCTTCACCTCCTTGTGCAGCTCCTCCTCCACGGGGTCCCTCACCACGTCGACGGCGCGGCGGCTCTCGCGGAGCGTCAGGCACTCAACGGCAACGTCCAAAGGCAAGTTCTTTGCCTGGAGGGCATGTTCTGCTGCTTCCTTCACCTGGAAGAAGCAGCCAGCTGGGTGTGTGTGGGGTGTCCTTCAGGGATGGGAGGAAGGAGGGAAGGAAGGGGAACCCACTGATACCCTCGCACTGCCCGTCTGTGCCGTTCTGAAACCTTTTAGCAAGTCTGGAATGAAAAATGCGAGAGCCAAACACATTAGTCCTCTACATCTGCTCTCTGCATTGGGAATCACACCTTGCTGGGGGCTGACGACTCCAGGAGCAGCAGCCTCTGGCTTTGTAAGTAAAAGAATCAGAGACCTCCCACTGCTATTCTCTATCTAAAATCAAAGATTTCTGAATGATGGTGTGAACATACTTCTCATTATCTGTCAGAGCTTTAAAAAAAAAAAACGCAGCGAAAACCACCCAAACATGAGCAGGCAGTGCACGGCTCCATAAAACGGCTCAGCTCAGCCAAGAACACGGGGGTTTGCTTTCCAGGAAGCCATTTCATCAGGTGCAGATCTCAGTACACCTGCGATCAGCCCCCCCTGGACTCCATATGGGCCTGCCCGTTGCAGAAGACAAGCCTCAATTATTTAACATCCCACGTTGAGCGTGTAAGCTGCTTTCCAGCCATCTGCCTTCCCAACATACTTTGGCTAAGGCATCGATTTCCGCATCGATGTCTGCGAGGCATTTGTCCAGGGTCTCCTTCCATCTGTTCACGCTGCTGATACGTTCAGCCAGGCGGGTTTGGTTGTCACGTTCATCCCATTTCGTCTGGAATTAGAGGAGAAATGCCATTACTCTTTTTTTAAATTGCAATTCTGAATCTCGCAGAAGCCTCTCCCTGGTTTTCAGTACCCCCGCAGAAGGGTTCAACACGTTGCCAGCTGGTCTAATAGTCCTCGACACAAACGGAGGGCACAGCAAACACCACGGGGTGCAGTGGAGGCAAGAATCACGCCCAGGGGTTTCACGGTACACACGCGCCGTTGCACAAGGGTTTACAGAAGTAAACGTACATATTTAGCAGGTTCCACGGAGGTAAAGCCTCGTCCTAGATCTAGACTCAGCCCGCTACTCTGACAAACCTGGCAGAGCCGCCCTGCCAGACCCACCTGGTTGTCGGTTTCGTTGCGGAGAGCTCGGGCTTCCTGCCGGACTCGGTGGGAAGCAGAACGCTGGCGTTCGGCGTCCGCCGAGACGAGACGGGAGCTGCTGTGCCAGTCCCGCACGCTGAACCGCTGTCCCGGCTTCGCGCTCAGCGCCGCCATCTCCCTAAACACGTGCCTAAAAGGAGCGGGAGATTTTTGCGTTGATTCATGGGAACGTACCCGAAATGGAGGCGCATCCACGGACTGGAAAGCTCTCCCAGAGACAAGCAGCAGCAAGCTCCAACCTGGCATCTTGCCCAGCGCGGACACACAACGGGGAAGCACGTTGGGGACCAGAGCCACCCTCCGCCCCGGGCCAGGAGCAAAGCCCTGTCGGCCCGCCTGTCCCCAGAGCAGGGAACGGAGCCGCTCCCAGCACCATCTCCCACACGGTGGTTGTTGAGCTTGGACAAAACGGCTGAGTACCATTACTGATTCTACTTTTGTTCCAGCTGCTCGGCCCAGCGCTGCAGCCCCAGGGGACCCGAAGGCTCTGCAGGGTCGGCACCAGGTTTGCAGCGTCTCTGGGAAACGGGCAGGAGCTGCAGAGACCGCTCGGCAGGATCAGAGCGGCTCCTGAGGAGACTGCAGCCCCCCAAAACCCCGGTCAGGTGGAGCTGTGGGGCAGACAGACCCCCCCGGGCCTCGGGAACCCTCGAGGGAAGGGAGCGAGTCCTGCTCCAGGGCAGGCGGCGCCCCGGGCTGCAGGGCGCAGGGGCCCGACCCCCAGATGGAAAAGGGGGAACAGGGACGGGGCTCGGCCCGCAGCTAGGGGGGACC